AATCGAAAGTTTCATAGAGAGGATGCCATTTGAATTGGTCTTTAAAGAACAAGGCAAGGAAGGCATTACTGAATAAAATGAAAAGCATGAAGTGTATTTAGGGAACACCATGTATGCTATAGTTTAGCTGTTGCAGGTAGTTTCCTGAGGGAAGTAATATGAATAAGTCTGGAAAGGTAGGTGGTAACATTGTGGAGGGCCTTGAATGCCAGGCATAGTAGTTTGAACTTTACTTGGTGGGAAATAGGGAACTGCTAAGAATCTTTTTTAGCAGTGGTTTGACTTGACCAGATCAAAGCCACTAGATAGATGAGAGACTGGAAATGCCTACATACATGGCTATATGTACCGTAACCTCCAGGCAGGGTGCTCAGTGAATGTCATTGGCAGATTAGTTGGCCAAGTGACCACAAAAAAAGGAGATAGCTCCATTTAAGTTCTTAATTCTTAGAAAATGGGTGGATTTTTTAAAAAGAGGAAAAATCAAAGGTAAGACTATGTATTGGTGAATGAACATATTAGATTCTGTTCATTAAAAATTCACTTAATGAATTCTTTTTCTTTTTGTGTGAAACTTATAGAATTGCCAACAGGTATTGTGAAAATTTTCTTGTGTTCTTACATTTGAATAGTTGCTATCAGATTTACCAGGCACATATACACATACACACAGTTATGGAAAAATCACTGAATGTATACATCAGCCTTATTATTCATGTTCATATAGAGAGAGATAATAGAATTAGAACAATTTGAATTTTGAAAATCTCAGCAAATGTCAATGGGATCAGTTTTGCATGTGATATTTCTCCTCTCCTAAATTTTATCTTGGAAAGTCTGGTGTTTTGAAATAAAAATTTCCCTTCATGGGGTTTTGGAAATAAACCACTTTGTTATCTCCCCTTTGCAGTCTCCTCTTTCTACTTCAGCCACATATTGTGCATTTGAATACAATGCTATTATGCTATATGGGTACTGTTATGCTAAATGATACAAGGTCCAATTAAAATTGTTCAATCCTTGCCCTCAAGGGACATTCTTTGAGAAAAGATAACACAAAGGTTTAGGTAGGGCTGCAGGGGGTGACAGATCCTGCAAATTATGGGACAGACTATGTGTAGCTTGAGTACAAGAACAGAGGAAGACCAAAGAGCATGCACTTCTCTGCTCAAGTGTATCTGTATATCCCAGAGGCCAGGTTGTCTGAAAAATCGTCTTGAAATGAAAGACAAAGGAACATAACAGGAAATAGCAATTTTATCTCATACTCACTAGGTACACTTGAATTTGACCTTCACGGATTATCAGTGCCTGAATCCTAAACCTGACCAGTTGATTAAGCAACCTCATTTTTAAACTCTAAAGGCACCGGGAAGTATTATGTTAGAATATTTTGTGGTTAAATTAATGAGCATCTATACAACCAATGAAGATGTCATGTTGGCTAATAATTCTAGTTTTAAAGCAGATTTGCTAACACGTTAATTTATCAATCTACATTCTTTCTTTGGTTTTTCTTCCTTTAAAAAATAATATAAACAATATTCCCTCCAACCATCAAAAATTAAAATTAAAATATCATCCTTTACTACTCATTTGGCCAGTTAGTTGTCTATTGATAACCTTCACTGGCCATCCTGTATATAAAACTAACTGTATAAGATACAATTAATATTAAGGTGTTTTTTCTACTTTGCAATAAAACAAAGACAGATGAAGTCTTTTATTTGAAAGAACTTTCAAACAAAAAGGCTGTCCAGATTCTGATACTGATATGGAAAGCAGGGTATTTGCAAAATATACAACACATTGATACTTAGTAGACATTCTGCTTCAAATCTAAAGCTAGTCTTACTTCTCTCAAGTAACTGAGTAAATAGCTTTGTAGTTTTAGGGTTGGAAGGAACCTAAGAGATCATTTAGTCCAATTCTGTCATTTAATCCATGAAGAAATTTAGATCCAAGAAATTAAGTGACTTTTCTGGTTACCATGCTTTGGCTTCCTTCTTCTGCCCCTGAAGCCCCCTCCTCCCATTGGTGTGTTCCTCTGCAATCTCTGTTTTGAAGAAAGGCTCATTGCTTCACTCTGGATTTTGCTACCATGCTTATGCTCCAGTACCTTCCCGACGCCCCACGCCCTTTCAGCTCCTTTCAGCGTAAGATTTTTGAGCGCAAGGACTATCTTTATTTTTGCCTATATTTATATACCCAGGACTTTACACAGTTCCTGGTACATAGTAAGCAATTGAGAAATGCTTCTTAACTTGCCCCAAATCATACAAGTAATAGATAGCAAAGTCTACCCTTTTGATTCATAGTATCATAGATATAAAGTTGAAAGACCATCAGAGGTTATCTGGCCCAGGACAGAAAGAAACAGAGGCCCTGAGAGGTTGTTCCTTGTCCAAAGTCACACAGGTAGTAAATATCAGAGGCAGAATATAAAACCTAGGTCTTTTGACTCTAGAGATAGTACTCTTTCCATTGTACTCTCCTTCCTCCAAATTCAAAGCCTTTTCCACTGTCACTAAAGCTGCAGAAGAAACCTGACCAGCCCTTATAATTAAAGTAGAAACCGTGGCAAGAAGTCACTAGTAGCCTACTAAGAATATTATGCTGCCCCTCCTGTCCTAGCGGATAGAGAACTGACCTCCTAGTTAGGACAAATTGAGTTGAAATCCTGCCTCTGACATTTACTGCCTCTAAGCACTTTGGACAAGTTACTTTAATCTCTCCAAGACTGTAAATGAAAAAATAAATTGCTGATTCTCATTGGTTGAGGGAATTTCCTTCCCCGAGAGCTCCTAACCCAGATGAAATCTCAAGGGGGAAGAGGGAATGGAGGCCTCCAAAGCACCTGCAAATAACAATCCATTTTCACATTTGAATGTTAGAGTGGAAGCAAGAACATTAAATCTAGAAGAGACTTTAATAGTCATATAATCCAACCCCCTCATTTTACAGATGAAGAAACTGGGCCCAGAGAATGACTTGCCTAAGGTTAGCAGTAAAGCCAGAGCTTAAACCCAGACCTTATTTCTGGGCCAGTGAGCTTTTCCAACTGACACCAGCTGTCTCCTATTGAAAAACCATACACAGGAAACTAAAAACTGAGACTGAGTTGAAATATAAGTATGAACAAAAAAAAAAGTTTTCCTTATGAAATGGACAGTTGGTATATAAATACTCTGTACCTTGTTTCTTGATTCTTCTGTTTCTTATAGGCAGAAGCTATCTTATTCTGCACACACCCCTTACACACCTCACAGCCTCATAAAAATATGTTGATTAAAAGAAAAAAATGCATATTATCTATGCAAGCGCTTACTTATTCAGTAAACACAGATGTAAAACAAATCTGTTTTAGCATAGGAGAAATTAGACCAGAGTCAAAATGACCCACAATACTGCTGTTGATTCAAATTTAATTTAATGAATTTTCTTGATCTGAAAGAACTCATTTCTTACCAACAGGTACTGTTTACAACAGACTGTGAAAGTTTCATCCTGTTTCCATCTTTGAACAGCTGCCATCAGATTTATGATTTTTTTTGGCTGCCCCTTGGAAAAGGCTTAAAGGGACCTATTTGTTTGGCGTGGTTGATTTTTTCCTTTGTGGCTGTGCTATGAGCAGATGTAAAATCACCCTGCCTGAAGAGCAGCCAGTCTCTCCTCAACATGTGGCACATACTCTGGAAATGAAGAATGGAGGCATTAAATACATTAAAGCATAATATTTCACAGAAAGACACAGAAAATCAGAATTTAAGCAATTCTCTTGGTGTTTGGCCATCCTGGCTGTAATGTGTTTAGAAATAATGAGGTAAGCTATGGACAGAAGGACATTAACTCTATTTCCTGCCCTCTATGGATTTAAGTCAATAATTATTTCATCCATTTTTATCTTATCTGTCTTAATCCTTTTCTTAAAAAAATCATTTGAAACCAAAAGAAATTTTGAAGGTCCACAAAGTTTGTTTTAATTGGGAGAAAATTGTAAAGCATTTTAATGGAATTTAATGGAATTTTTCCCATGATCTGACTAATACAGTCGTTTAACAGATGGTTCACATGGACAAAGCAATGCAAACATATAAATTAAAAACAGATCCTGTTTTTTCAAAAAAAAAGTCTGAATTCTCAGAAACCATATAGGCTGACTGTATGGGATTGATGTTAAGTAGCAGTTTCTTTTTCTGCAGGTATTTCAAGAGGAAAGAATCCTATTCATTGAAACCACCGGGAGTAGCTACAGCAGAGGACTATTAATTTTGTACTCGGGTCCCATTTTATAATTTTGTAATCCAAATAGCTGTTGGGAAAAGGTAAACAAGATTTTTAAAAAGGTCTCAAAGTTGAACAAATGGACCTTTTTCTGGAAAGAAAATTAACAAAATCTCCCCACTAACGGGAGCTTTGCTGGAGGTTAAACTTGCAATTGATGGGTAAGGGTGGGAGTAGGAGGAGGAAGAGAAGGAAAGCCTTTAGTTCATCTTCCCACGTAAAGAAACTTGAGGGGAAAAAAACTTTCAGGCCTGTGGGACTTTCTTTTATAATGCAGAGCGATTTATTTTTTCTTTAGACAAAAAGTAATTAAATTGCTCCATCTTGGAATTGAAATAAGTCCAGACAGAATAAAAGGGGGCGCATGTGTGTTAGAGCCGGGAGAAGGCTACATAAGGCCAAAAATTTGGGTCCTAAAACTTTTCTCGACTCTCCCCCTCCCCCAAATATTTTTTCCAAACATTCTGTTTGTGAAGTCTTCTCTAATTCTGAATCTCTCCAGGGGTGGAGATAAAGTAAGGAATTCGGGTACTCTTGAAGGACAGGGAACTGTGGGGTTCATAGAAATAGGTCACAGCCGGTAAGGCGGGGTGGGCTGGAGCCTGGAGAGGAGGAGGGGGCAGGGTTAATTGCAAAGATGCGGCCAGACAGGAGATTAATAAAGGGTGTGTTTGTGTGCCTAAATGAGGCTTCTACTGTGGAGAAGGGTGGCTTGTGGGTGGGGGTGAAGAGGGTAAAGGGGTAAAAGGGGCGGGGTGGAGCCGGGTAAGAGTGAAGCGGTCAGGGGGAGGGTCTGCGAGCCCGGGACACAATTCGCACCACTCTCAGGGCTTGTGTCCGCTTGGGGGGAGGGTTTCCAACGCCCGAACAGTTGCAGTAGAGCATTTCAGGGCTCACATAGCAAAAGATTGTCAGGAGAGAGGGAGACGGAGCGCGGAGGTGCCGGAAGTGTCTGCAAGCAGCCGCGGGGCCGCCGCCGCCGCCGCCGCCGCCGCCGCAGCAGCTACAGCAGCTGTAGCCGCCGTAGCCAGAGAAACTTTCCAGTTTTAGCCTAGGAGCCGGGAGACTGAGGAGCCCTCCATGCCCCGGAGCAACAATGCAACCATATGACAGCCACCTAATTGGACCCACTCCTTTGCTATCCGCCTGCACTTCCCCTCCCTCATCCCCTCCGGTGGAGATTGAGACAGGGGGGAACTGCTGTAATCCCTGCAAAGAAGCGCCCCGAGGAGGTGCAGGATCGGGGGAGGGGGGCCCCCATTTTCTGTGCACCTTTCCCTGCGCGCTCTGGCCCTCCTCCTGCCGCCTTCCTGCTTCGGTTCTAGGTCTGTCCGGAGTTAGATTCCCTAATTGGCTTTCTTTCCTACTTGACCTGAAGAGTCCCAGGCTGCTGTCGCCGGCGTCGCGTCTGTGCCATGGGGCTGCCCACTCTGGAGTTCAGTGATTCCTACTTGGACAGCCCAGACTTCAGGGAGCGTCTGCAGTGTCACGAGATTGAGCTGGAACGAACTAATAAATTCATTAAAGAGCTCATCAAGGACGGATCTCTGCTTATTGGGGCTTTGAGAAGTGAGTATGGCTCAGGGGGTGGAGGTGGGGGCGCAGTCCGAGGCTACCCTTGGGGTGCCAGGCCGAGGGGGTGGGGTGGGGGACGCGAGGGAATCGGGGCTTCTTTTGTTTGAATGGGTCTGGGGAAAAATGCTGAAGAGCTCCCCTGCTGGTAGCCAGAAAAGTTTGTTCTTAAGGTGTGCTTGCCTGACTTTAAATAATTAGCATTCCCCCCCCCATTTGCCCTCCCACAGTCGAGGAGAAACTAGAGGGGGGAAATCTGTGACTTTGAAAAAAATGTTACTTGGTGTTTGATGTTAATTGTACCCCTCCCTGCCTGCCCCGCCTTGTAAAGTAATTGAGGATTCCGGGACACTTAGGGCTGTAAATTTCAAAACAACTTGATCGCTATTAACTGAACTAATTCTAGAGTTTGAGTCCTATTGCTAAAAATAGAGAGCTATTATGAATGTAGAAACGAAAGAAAATTACATGTATGTGTATATATTCATTATATATAATAAATTACATATATGCTCAAAGTGTGCTTGGGGAATAGGGGTGATCCTCTTGCGAGCAAACTGACTCTCACACACATACACATACACCCCCCCCCCATGGCCAGATTAAGTGAGTCAAATTGTCACAAACTGACAACTAGTAGATTCCCCCCTACCAATGTTTTCTATGACTACAGACTTGACAGACACCTCCCCCCCCCCCATCCACCTTTCTAGCTAGCCTTCCTGCGCCTATAGGTCACCTAAGGAACTGGATTGTACTAATTGGCTATGAGCAAATGAATCATCCACCACTGGGTTTGGGAGCAGGGTGTTGTAGAAGTCTCAGCAACTTAAATTAGCACGTGTCTTAGGGTGCATCAGTTGGAAAAACTAAAGTACTGTTAGCCTCAGCCTTTGGGATCCTTCTCTCCTTTTTCACCTGGTTTCTGACCTCCTCAGGCTCTGGTGTTCTTAGGTTATTCCCATTCTTCCCCTAACCTAACCCCCCACTCTTGAACAGATCTGATACTCTTCCTTTGTTAAACTATTAAACCGATAAGGCTTATTGTTCTAACTCCCTCCCGCATATTTACATTTTGATAGAGAAAAAACAACCCTGTTTTGTGAAAGTTTGAGGAATCAAATTCCAATTATAGAATTTCTGGTTTCACTAAGGGGTGGTTAGCCCTAGCCTCCTGATTGGTTTTCTTGATTCAAGTCTCTCCACCCTCTAGTCCATCCTCCAGTCAGCTGTCAAGAAATCTTCTGCAAGAGGAATTCTGACCATTGAGCCCTATCCAACACATTCTAGTGACTGCCTATCACCTCCTGACTTTTCCACAAACAGGACAGTCCATCACTCTGGCACCAGGCATTTTCTCTGACTGTTCACCATGCTTGGAAAGCTCTTCCTCCTCTGCGTGGGCTAGTGATCTCCTTATCTTCCTTTGTTCAGTCATTTTTCAATCATGTCCAACTCTTTGTGACCTCATTTGGGGTTTTCTTGGCAAAGATACTGGAGTGGTTTGCCATTTCCTTCTCCCAACTCATTTCACCAATGAGGAAACTGAGGCAAAATTAAGTGATTTGCCCAGGGTCACCCAGCTAGTAAGTATCTGAGGCTAGATTTGAACTCAGGAAGATGAATCTTCCTGATTCCAAGCCTAATGCTCTATACACTGTAACACCTAATTGCCCATAGGATAAAAAAAATTGTACTTTTGTTCAGTCTTGTCCAACTCTTTGTGACTGAATTTGAGGCTTTCTTGGCAAGGATACTGGAGTGGTTTGCCATTTCCTTCTCCAGCTCATTTTGCAAATAAAAAAAAATGAGGCAAACAGGATTAAGTCACTTGCCCAGGGTCACTCAGTAAGCATCTGAGGCTAGATTTGAACTCAGGTCTTCCTGATCCTAGGCTAAAGCTCTATCCACTGGGCCACCTACCTGCCTTCCTTTAAGTTTCCACGAATATTCTACTTTCTGGGGTAAGACTTCCCCAACCACTTTTAATGCTGTTGCCTTCCCTCTGTTAATTATTTCCTATTTATCCTATATGTAACTTGCTTTATATACATTTCTTTGCTGGTTGTCTCCCCATCAGATTGTAAAGTCATTGAGGGCAGGAGCTGTCTTTTGCCTCTTTTCATATCCCCAGTGCTTAGCATAGTGCCTGGCACATGGTAGGCGCTTAATAAATGTTTATTGGTTGATTTTAAATATAAAATCCTGTTTCATTAAAAGTCTTTCATCACTGGGTTTTGCCTCCACCTTTCCATTTCTGGGGATACGCATGCCCCTCCCCCACAAATGCACCCCACATAGGATCTAGTTAGACTAGTCTTTTTACAATTTTTTTTCTACATAGGATATCATCTCCCAGCTCCAGACATCTTCAGTGACTGTGATGTATGTCTGGAATTCTCTCTTTTTATCTCTATCTTCTGGCTTCCTTCACTTCCCAGCTCAAATCCTACCTTCTTCCTGAGAAGTCTCCTGATTGCCATTAAGCTAGTGCCTTCCCTTTGTTGCTTAATTTTTATTTACCCTGTATAGATCTTGTTTGTACATAGTGGTTTGCATGTTATGTTCCTGTTAGAGTGTGAACTCCTCAAGGGTAGGGACTATCTCTGTATTTTTGTATCCTCAGAACTTAGCATAGTGCCTGGCGTCATAGTAGACACTTAAATAAATGCTTGTTGACTGACTGACTGAGCAGAGTTTCAGGGTAGCACTAAAATTACCCTACCATATGCTAAGCCAGTAGTACCAAAATGTACTGGGCATGATGCTGGGCCAAATAGTGTTGGTAGTTAACAAATAACTTGTTAAAGATGGACAATATATATGGATTTTAAGACTAGGGCACGGAAGAAGAGGGACCTGTATGTTCTAGAATTAAGATTGGCTGTCAGCTCTATTTTGATGTGCATATTAATGAATTGAAATAGTTTTGCTGAAAATCTTTTTGAAGTGTTCCAAAAACCAAAATATTTTTTCCTGTAACTGTTACCCATCAGAGGGAAATGCATATGATGTGTTTATTCTTTCACTCTGTGACTCTTTAAAAAGTGCTGTCTCCTGTTCCTAAAATTGACTGTCCTAGCCCATTTCAGCCTGTTGAAGTCTTCGCTTTACAACAGTGCCCAATACTGAGCTCTCACTTTTCAGATTTTCCACAGCCCTTTGCCTTGACTGCCCCTTTTGAACTTCATCTCACTCTCCCTTGCATCTTGGTTGTTTCTCTTTTCTCAGGCCACAGTTCAAATAGAATTTAGGACTGGAATGGACTTGCTTATTTTACAGGTGAAGAAATAGACTCAGAAGTCAAGTTACCCAAGACTAAGTAGCAGAGCCAGAGGTCAGACCCAGGTCTCCTGACTCCCCAGGTCCTGTGCTACCTTAGAGCTCTATAAACAGAAGACTGTGTGAGGACTAAGTGGAGAAAAGTTACTAACAGCTTTCAGGGGAAGGGGGAGAGTTAAGGAAGACTTCAAGGAAGAGGGGGCCTCAACACTGGGCTTTAAAAGATGACTTCAGATCTTGTTTGTAAGTGGTTTGCCTGTTGTCTCTCTCTTAGACTGTGAACTGCTCAAGGGCATGGACTATCTTTGTATTTTTGTATCCTCAGCAGTTAAATAGATGGGAAGGACATTGCAGGCACCTAGAAAGAGCATTCACAAAGACACTGAGGCAGGAAAGTATGCTGTTTTTAGGGGAGGGCAAGTTTGGCTGGAGTAAAGAATAGATGGAAGAGGAGATAGGATGACATCAGAATGTGGGGAGCCTCAAATGCCAAGCAGATGGGGTTGGAGCTTGACTCTGGAAGTAGTAGGGTGCTACTAATAAGAATGAAGTGACCAAATTTATACTTAGGAAGATACTTCTGAAAGTTGTATGCAGGATGGATTTTAGGGGATGAAAAAATGAAAAAAAAATTAATTATTAAAAAAAAATTACAGCACTGCTCTGTGTCCCCAAGGCTACAAAGATAAAAGCCAAGGCAGCCTTTGTCCTCAAGGAGTTTACATTCTAATGGGCAAAACCACAGAATTGTTTTAATTATGGTTGAAGTTGTATTAAAATTGTTTATTAGCAGTTACCCATCCACAGTGGGGGCAGCTAGGTGGCTCAGTAGATGGAGAACTGGGCCTGGAATCAGACTCATCTTCCAGAGTTCAAATCTGGCCTCAGATACTTACTAGATGTGTGACCTTAGGCAAGTCACTTAACTGTGTTCGCCTTAGTTTCCTCATCTGTAAAATGAGCTGGAGGAGGAAATGACAAATCTTTGCCAAGGAAACCCCAAATGGTATCACGAAGAGTTAGACACAACTGAAAAATGACAAGAAAACAATCCTCAGAATAGGGACTCTAGGTCAGAAAGTGCTCCAGGCTATGGTCAGTTGTTCAAGAAGTAAGAGTTTGTAATGGAGGGGTAGGTTTCGATGGGAATAAAGTTAATGGCAAATGGGAGGGGATCAGGGATGCCTGGACTTGGCAACTGGCTACAAAAAGAAGCATTTCAATCATGAGTAAGTGTTAGTGACATTAAAAGACAGTGAAGTTAGAAGGAAATTCTGGGCTTGGGGAGAAAATGATAACGTCAGCTTTGGAGACAATAGCCAGGGATCAAGAGGGAGGAGGAGAAGCAGAACACTGATGTCTCAGAAGCAAAAAGAGAAAGAAGAGACTCCAGAAGGTAGAAGTGGTTCATGATATCCTGTGCTGCTGACAGGTCTAGTGGGTCCCAAATGAAGGAGGCAGGTATTCTACTGTACACTACCTAGTCGGAGCACTCCAGGAGTACTGTGTTCTCTTCTTGGTGCCTTAAGTTTCGGTTGATAAACTAGAAGGTATTCATTCAGAAGCAGACAATGGTTGAGGATGGGAAACCGTTCCTTGTGAGGAGTTTTTGAGGGAACTGATGATGGACTAGAAAAATGAGCACTTTCTTGTTGTTATTATTGGGGAGGGGTTGAATCATGATGTTTTCTAGTACTGTCTTGGGAAGAGAGTTT